TTCATAACTAAAGATAAGGAATATCAAAGCACTGAATTTTGAGAAATTGCTTTCAAGAATCAAGATCTCTGATTTCATAGCGCTTAAAGGTGGTATTGCTTTTCCCATCTCTAGGGGTTGTTTGACGGAATAGAAATGCTTTTCATTTAAATGCATGGTATGTAACGAAAGGATTGCCAGCGCATAAAAAATTATGATTGAGAGAGTGCTATACATGCTGATTGGATACCTTGACCTGGCTGTAGGTCCTGGTATTTTGATATCACTAAATTGCTTTCTAAGTTGTTGTTTTTTTCATTATCTTGTTACATGAAACATATGTGATGAAGTACTATCCTAACATTTTTCTATTTTTCTAAGTTTTCTCCCATTAGTTATTTGTATAGTAGCTACTTGGTCTTCTACACAAAATCAGTGAACAGTTCCTGTGAAAACATATAAAATGAAATTTGAATTTATATATATATATTTTTTTTTCTTTTCTTTTCTTTTCTTTTCTTCATTGATATACCAGAATATATATATATTTGTGAATAGAAAATCTGTAGTTTGTATGAAGTGTGAGTGTGAGTGAAATATAATGAACATCCTGTTTTCAGCTAAAGAGTATTTTTTATTTGTTTTCATGATAAATGTTTATGAATTCCTTTAACAATCAATAGAAATGAAGAGCTTTCAGTAGAAAACTTTTTTAATGGCATGCACTTTTTTACTACTTTTTGTTGAAGTTATGAATTCTTAGCAGTTTTCTTATTAAAGATTTCTGCTCTTTTTTGAAAGAGAAGGAAGTTTTACACAATATTTTATTTTTTATATATATTTTCTAAATGTAGAAACTCCTGGTCTGTCCAAAATCATAAAACTTTTATATATTTTCTAAATGTAGAAACTCCTGGTCTGTCCAAAATCATAAAACTTTTTTAATGGCATGCACTTTTTTACTACTTTTTGTTGAAGTTATGGGTTCTTAGCAGTTTTCTTATTAAAGATTTCTGCTCTTTTTTTGAAAGAGAATGAAGTTTTACACAATATTTTATTTTTATATATATTTTCTAAATGTAGAAACTCCTGGTCTGTCCAAAATCATAAAACCTTTTTAATGGCATGCACTTTTTTACTACTTTTTGTTGAAGTTATGGGTTCTTAGCAGTTTTCTTATTAAAGATTTCTGCTCTTTTTTTGAAAGAGAATGAAGTTTTACACAATATTTTATTTTTATATATATTTTCTAAATGTAGAAACTCCTGGTCTGTCCAAAATCATAAAACCTTTTTAATGGCATGCACTTTTTTACTACTTTTTGTTGAAGTTATGAATTCTTAGCAGTTTTCTTATTAAAGATTTCTGCTCTTTTTTGAAAGAGAAGGAAGTACAGGGCAGTTCTTATGAACAATAATACAGCAGCAAGTTTTGGCCCTGTTACCTTATTTCTTGTATACTTTATAGCATTACAGTAGAGTGGTTTTGAAACTCATGTTGAAAAAAATCATAATCTCAGGTTTATTATATTGGAATCCAGGGATAAAGACATGAAAAATCTACATATTGAAATTAAAAGGGATAGAACGATAGATACTAAGGAATAGCATCTTTACTCGAGCAACAGATGCTTTCAATGTTAAACTCCCTATAAAAGCAGTCACCTAGGATAGAGAGAAAGATAGATACAAGGGGTGAGTTCTTTATGCAGGCAACAGATGCTTCCATCGCTTGTGTTAATCTCCCTGTCAAAGTCAGCTGCAGTCAATCAATACATAGGAAATGTCACATAAGTCAAATAATTGACATTATCACTTTTCTTTTTATATAGACTCCTGACTAGTGGACAAGCAATACTTTCTGAGTGAGAAGCCATTATACATGTGTAGGTTGCACCACACACTGTTCAGTTGCGTGTGGTTATGTGAGCTGATAGTAAAATGACAATGATTGACTGCAGTACCAGCATAATACATTTGTACTGTACTAGAGAGATAATCAGTAGAGAACCAGTAGAACGCCCACATGCACTGTGTATGTATGTATAGTGACTAGGTGTGTGTGTCTGTAGATGGATTGATTGATGGATATTTTTTAAAAACAGACAGATGGACAGACAGAGAGACAGACAGATAGAGAGAAAGACAGATAGACATAGAGACAGACAGATAGACATAGAGACAGACAGATAGACATAGAGACAGACAAATAGACAAAGGGACAGACAGACAGAAACACAGACAGACAGACAGACATTTACACACACACACCACACACACACACACACACACACACACACACACACACACACACACACACACACACACACACACACACACACACACACACACACACACACACACACCCCTTTTTCCCCCATATTTGATCCCCCCCCAACAAGTGCACCCTTTGTTTTATAGGTTTGCCTGTAGGATGGACTTATAGATGCATACGTTAATTATTATCGTTTGTAGTGATAGTGTCATTATGGATTTCCCAGCTCTACTCCATTACATGCTGTTAACGAAGCAATATTTCCTGTCTATTGCTTTATCATTTTTTAAGTTCTGTATTGTTGGTTTTCATTTTTGAATAATTTTTGTGCTCTTCATATTTTCAAAGAATCCTCACTTTTGAGATATGACGTAGATTTATTTTGCTTGGGGTTTCAAGTTTGAAGGTTTTGAGGTCTGGAAACTATTTATAAAAACATATTTGTGATGTGTCAGTCATTTTGTTTAAATTTAGGTACAGTATCGGTCAATGCTAGTGAGTATAACTATATTAAGGAAGGGAAATTTTGGTGCGAGTTTTCTCTAATTTTGAGTGCATTTTTATTGATATTAGTCTGTTTACAAAACTAGTGGAACAGAAGATAAAAAAGGGTAAATAATGCATATACTGTACTTTTTGCTGATATTACCATGGCATGGAACTAGGTCAATGTTATTTCTGTGACAAAAGATTATTGTATTAAATGCTACTGGATTTAAGTCCACTGTCCCAAACTTATTTAGGGTTAATCTGCATTGTGTTACAAATCAAGATGTCCTAAGAATTGACACTGAACAGATCATATTTTCACATGACAGATTTTTTTCCCCTGTGTTTCATTGTTGTTTTGTCATTGTGACTTATTCTAATAGTACTGGATTAGATACATAGTTTGACCACTGTGGTACTGTTTTGTTAATGTCTTTTGCACATTAAGTGGTCTCATGGGAACTTCTTTACCAAAGAGCCAAGTAGCTTGTTCAATTGTACCTGTTCACTCCATCCCTTAAATTTACGGGAAAAAAAAATGTATTTTTCATATTGTTATTATTATTATCATTATTATAATTGTTGTTATTGTCATTATTATTATTATTATTATTATTATCATTATCATTATCATTATCATTATCATAATTATTATCATTATCATCATCATTATTGTTATCATTATCGTTATTGTTATTGTTATTAATCATTAATTATTAATTATTAATTATTATTATTGTTATTATTATTATTATTATTATTATTTTTATTATTATTATTATTATTATTATTATTATGCATACTATGTTTTGTTTCTAATTTTAGAGAGTACACTTTGGTGTGCACTACAGACATTTTCTTATTTTCCACTGCAATATTATTGTGCAATATCATAATCCTGTTTCTTTGTGTGGTGACTTGACAAAAAAGAGCTTGAATTAAAACTTCAAACAGCATCAACATATACTAGATGTAATCCTGTGCTCAGGATGTTTTTAGATATATTAAAAGAGGTTAAATCCTTTTAAGTACCCGGTACAAAGAAAATGGAAAGCAAGTTAAAAATCTTGAGCTTTGTGCTGTTGTCAGGTTTCTTATTCTTTGTGGCAACTTGCTTACATGACCATATGATGTGCACATTTTATTTGCACATGACAGTAGTATGTGCACTTTTTATGAACTGCGTGGAAGCAGATAGTTTCTTTAAGGATTGTGGAAATGGATATGGAAGTGTCTGATGGGGTGAAAGGAGATATTGTACAAAAGAAAAAAATTTAAATCCTTGTAAGCTGTTGCCTCAAAGATAACTTAATTTAGCCATGTGGATTTTGCCTAGAAATTGCTTTACCATTTCTACTTTTGAGTGGAGAAGCAAATATGTTTTTACTTACATCACTTCACAAACTTAATGGTAATATGTTTAAAGTGTATATTATACCTAACTAAATAGCAGGAGAAAATGTACAGTACTTCAATTTCCTCCCCTACTTCATGGATATTTTATTGATACATATTGGTTTATACTTTGAATTCTATGGAAAACAAAGAATGTCTTTTGTCTCTGCTTTATTAAAAACATAGGCAGTATATTAATAGATCTGTAAGAAGAAGTTGGAGTAATGGAATATAAAGAAGATATCTGTGTGTACATATATACTTATACAAATACATCTACATGTATATTTACATACATACATATAATGTATGTATGTATGTATGTATTTATATTTATATAAATTGTCCATTTTGATGTTAATTGATGACTAGAGTCTTAACCTTTGTTATATTTCAGGTGCTACACCTAAAGGAGATGTCTGATTTTGCTAGCAAGTCACATTGAATGCTGTTGAAGCAACCAATAGGTACCAGACCCTGAATTAGATATGAAGGTTAGTATCAGTACAGAGCCCCTTTTGATGATTTTACATGTGTCTCTTAGTTATGTAGAATACTGATATGCAGTAATGCTATATTAAAACAATTTTCAGTAACTGTGTTCCAAAGCCCTAAGAAAGGATAATTGGTAAAGTTCAGAACTTTCTGCGAACACCAGGATGAGATTTATTTATAGAATAATTTCAACATAAACTAATCTAATCGGGACTTTACTCATTTCCTCCAGCATGCGTGAATATCTGCAAACAGTCATTGCTGTATTTTGTGTAACAAGTTATTTCTAGAGATCTATGCTTTTTTTCTTTTTCAAAAATATTGTTTCATATACTTTTTCCAGACTGGTGTAAGGGCAGGAAACCACCATGGAGAAGTTTGCCGTTGACCTTGATAAAGTGTTGGATGACTTCGAGTTAGATGAAGGTCTGTGAATCGTGGCTTTTCTGGTTGAGTCTAGGCCTATATGTAAGTCACTATGCCCTGGCAACCTAGCATTACATCTCATTCCATGAAATACTATTAAAAAGAATGCCAAATGCACAGGCATTTATGGTGTGGTATATCAATTATAGATGGCAATATTTGTCACTACTGCCTCTATGTTTGGCCATTCAGATAATTTTGATAGTGGTTTCCTCTTTGTTTCAAGACACTAAACACGTTATTGACTGCCATGTTGCCATAGCATGTTGATTTCACATTCAGAATCAAGTGCTGTATTTATAGGGTATATATATATATTTCTTTTTTTTCTGATAGATATTTAATAATTTTTTTCTTTGTTTTGTGGCTGTACAGTTGCTTTTAATCATTCTTATGGTAGTATGCTTCAGTGTTTGAAGATAATTTTTTTTATTGTTTTCTTTCTGATCCAAAATTCCATTTACTAACTTCACAACCCAAGTGTGTGTGTATTGTACATTATAGTCTGTTCCAATGACGGGCACAAAATTTAAGGTAAAGATAATTAGGGTCAAAACTCTTGCAAAATCTTGAGTATTGTAACCAAAGTCTTGCATAGTCTGTTGGATCTGGATGCCTTGCTGACCCAAAATTGAGGCATTAAGCTTGCTTGATTATTATTATTATTATTATTATTATTATTATTATTATTATTATTATTATTATTATTATTATTATTATTATTTTTCAAAGATTCAGTAACCTATTGCCAGATCGCAACACTGCAATAGGAAGTTATTTATAAAAATTGAAATTTCTTTTATTTGTGATATCTTTTTATGAATAAACAGTTGTAGTGCCTCTTGCTGGCTGTTTCTAATGCAAAGTATCTTTATATCTATTTCATATGAAAGTGTAATTACTCAACAAATGCTCTGCCTTTATAAGAAGTACTTTATTGTTTTAATTTTGGTTTCTTCTATATTTTTTAACAACATATCTAAGACTATATATATATATATATATATATATATATATATATATATATATATATATATATATATATATATATATATATATATATATATATATATTATATAATGTAGGTTTTAATGATATTGTATATAATATATATATATATATATATATATATATATATATATATATATATATATATATATATATATATATATATATATATATATATATATATATATTATATAATGTAGGTTTTAATGATATTGTATAAGAGTCCTTATCCTGTATAGTTTTAATTAATTATGATAGCTTAGAAGATCTTTAAGTAGGTAATTTATACAAAAACTAAATATGATTTATCTTTTCAGATGAAAGTGTTTCTGTTGGCCAGTATGATAAACTTCAACTCGAATTTCAACCTGATGGAGGTGGCGCTTTACCCCTAGCATCCTCACGTCACAATGTAGGACTAGGGGCATTTGGTGGCTGGAGTGAGCCGCTGCAGCCACAGGCGGCAGGTCCCAGACCTGGAGAGCAGCCTTGGTGTGGGGCCGTAATGGGTGGTATATCACAACCCCCTGGAACACGGAGCCCACCCGATGGTCAGAATGATGACAGCCAGCAGGCAGTTGCATGTTCCAGCCCGCAGTCAACTCTGCCATTTCACCAAAAGCTTCAGTTTCAACCACAGCAGCTAATACATCAGCCTCACACGAGAAATGTGCCAGCTGCTGGTGTTAGGCCTGAAGGCCTCTCAGCGAACCAGCCATCAGGAGCTGGTGAAGTTCTATGGCCTGCAATGGCTGTTTCTGCAGCAGACATGCCTCCAAACTTACCTCCTCCAGAACAACCAGAGGCTGCAGCACCATCAGAAGATTCCAGTATTAAGCAACCAGTTGAGGATGCAAACAGTGCTGGCTCTGAAGTGCAAAAATTGCCACAGGAACCTTATGCCCCTGAGGAATATGATGGCAATGTTAGAGTGGGAGACCTAGTTCCTGAAGAGCCTGGAAGTTTAGAAGAAAAAGATTTAGTGTGTGGAGGACTTGATGTTATTGCTTCTAGGCCTCTGGATGTAGTACCAGCAAGTGTTCCACCAGACAGAGGTCTAGCAAGTGGACATGAAACAAGACATCCTGATATCATTGATGTGTGGCAGAGTGGAGTGGAAGGTGGTGCAATGGGACCACCAACTAGTGTTTCTTCTAGTTTAATGGGAACTGAACAAAGTGAAAATATTGACAGTGAATATGATGAAAGAGGACGGGTTGTACATAATGTGGATCATAGTGAAAGAGAGAACTCTGTGGAACAACAGGAACATAGACTGCTTCCAGACCTAATGTCTATGAACAGTGTAGACAGCTCTGGCACCAGTGAAGGAGCAGGTTGCGTACCAGATTATCCAGAACCAGCTATAGTCATGGAAAATGCTCTTTCTGATTTGCAGATGAATGAACCTGCCATTGTGATGGAGAGTCAGTCATGTAGTAGAATACCAGAGGTTGTAAATGTCCATCAGACTGCTGAGCAGCAAGGGCATGGAGAAAATCATTATTATTATTATTATTAATTATTATTATTATTTTTCAAAGATTCAGTAACCTATTGCCAGATCGCAACACTGCAATATATATATATATTATATAATGTAGGTTTTAATGATATTGTATAAGAGTCCTTATCCTGTATAGTTTTAATTAATTATGATAGCTTAGAAGATCTTTAAGTAGGTAATTTATACAAAAACTAAATATGATTTATCTTTTCAGATGAAAGTGTTTCTGTTGGCCAGTATGATAAACTTCAACTCGAATTTCAACCTGATGGAGGTGGCGCTTTACCCCTAGCATCCTCACGTCACAATGTAGGACTAGGGGCATTTGGTGGCTGGAGTGAGCCGCTGCAGCCACAGGCGGCAGGTCCCAGACCTGGAGAGCAGCCTTGGTGTGGGGCCGTAATGGGTGGTATATCACAACCCCCTGGAACACGGAGCCCACCCGATGGTCAGAATGATGACAGCCAGCAGGCAGTTGCATGTTCCAGCCCGCAGTCAACTCTGCCATTTCACCAAAAGCTTCAGTTTCAACCACAGCAGCTAATACATCAGCCTCACACGAGAAATGTGCCAGCTGCTGGTGTTAGGCCTGAAGGCCTCTCAGCGAACCAGCCATCAGGAGCTGGTGAAGTTCTATGGCCTGCAATGGCTGTTTCTGCAGCAGACATGCCTCCAAACTTACCTCCTCCAGAACAACCAGAGGCTGCAGCACCATCAGAAGATTCCAGTATTAAGCAACCAGTTGAGGATGCAAACAGTGCTGGCTCTGAAGTGCAAAAATTGCCACAGGAACCTTATGCCCCTGAGGAATATGATGGCAATGTTAGAGTGGGAGACCTAGTTCCTGAAGAGCCTGGAAGTTTAGAAGAAAAAGATTTAGTGTGTGGAGGACTTGATGTTATTGCTTCTAGGCCTCTGGATGTAGTACCAGCAAGTGTTCCACCAGACAGAGGTCTAGCAAGTGGACATGAAACAAGACATCCTGATATCATTGATGTGTGGCAGAGTGGAGTGGAAGGTGGTGCAATGGGACCACCAACTAGTGTTTCTTCTAGTTTAATGGGAACTGAACAAAGTGAAAATATTGACAGTGAATATGATGAAAGAGGACGGGTTGTACATAATGTGGATCATAGTGAAAGAGAGAACT